CATTAATTTTTTTGAATTATTTTTTATTTCTGTTTTAGTTCGTATGAGCATGAGAAATGTTTCCTTGGCGACCAGTCACCTTTTATTTCATTTCAAGTAAAAATTGATATGCTTTTAAAATGTTTATTTTCATAAATTTTAGTTTATTTTAGTTTAGTCTATTTTAGTTATTAAGAAGTTTATTATCATCATTATTAGTAGTATTAGTTATTTTAGTTTTTGAAGTTAAAGCAGGAAATTAGGAAACACAAGCTAAGAGTTAAGTTTAAGGATTTTAATATTTTATTTCAGGTTATTATTATTATTTTTTTAGTTTTAACAATAATAATCCCTCATCATCTGTAATCTGCAGTAATAATACTCAAGCTTTCATCATTTAAAGAGACACACATGAACTTTAATTAAAAGCAGCTTTTTTATTGACTTCTCCAGTTGCATCCAGACGTTCATCAGACGGTTCAGAGGTCATCCTGCGCAGCGTCTGTTACATTCGTTAATGATTTGCATTAGAGACGCTGTTAATGAATTTGCATTGTGCAGTAAATATAAAACATGTTCACACACAGTGACCCAGAGAAAATGTGTGCCGGCATGTTCTTTTGTTGCGTGATTGAGGTGTGTTTGTTTCTTTGTGTGGCTGAGACTGACTGGTGAGGGTGTGTGCGGCTGAATCACACAAGAACATTGTGATTAAAACAGTCACCTTTATCTCAGTGCAATACATGAAGAGAGTTTAGAGCTCCAGCAGAGATCCTGTCACGCCATAACTCTTTCACAGCTGCTTTTGAGTTAATGCACTAATTCATTCAGTAAAACATCAAAGATCAGTGTATTCTGGAGTAAAGGGTCAGCTTGTGGTTTGAATAAAAAAAAATAAAATAATAATAATAATAATAATAATAATAAAAAATAAATACAATTAAAATTAAATAAAAAAAATTCAAAATTAAATTCAAAATTAAATTAAATTAAATAAATAAACAACTAACTAACTAACTAAATAAATAAAATAAAATAAAATAAAATAAAATAAAATAAAATAAAATAAAATAAAATAAAATAAAATAAAATAAAATAAAATAAAATAAAATAAAATAAAATAAAATAAAATAAAATAAAATAAAATAAAATAAAATAAAATAAAATAAAATAAAATAAAATAAAATAAAATAAAATAAAATAAAATAAAATAAAATAAAATAAAATAAAATAAAATAAAATAAAATAAAATAAAATAAAATAAAATAAAATAAAATAAAATAAAATAAAATAAAATAAAATAAAATAAAATAAAATAAAATAAAATAAAAATAAAAATAAATTAAATTAAAAAAAATAAAAATAAATTAAATTAAATTAAATTAAATTAAATACATTAATAAATAAATGTATAAATAAATTAATAAATATTTCTGGTCAAACTATATTTTAAATATAAATGCTAAATGTATGCTGTAAACAGTGAAGCTCAATGAAATATATTTTGAAATTGAAAATATATTTAATTTCACTCTTTATATACAAAACATGTCACATTTAGACTAAATGTGAAAGAAATAGCCTACTAGAGATCAAAACTAGATTTACAATGATTTAATAATATTTATTGTATATTTAATACAACATTAAATATATTTAATGCTATTAATTATGAATTTAATAATTACAAAGTTTATTTTTAGTTATGTTTATTTATTCATTTTCACGGTATGGGGTCAGATATTGATCAGAATTTGTGCTACGATCAGAATGCTGCTGGAACACATTTCTGTGGGCTCATGTGTCGGTTTCTCTGGGTTATGAACTACACAAAAGACAATAAAACACAATGCAAGCATCCTAGCAACACAAATGAATGAACACAGAAACACTGAATCACAGTTCTGATTCTTTATGGTGACCATATGTCCCTTTTTATTTCTAAATTGCCTAAAATGTCCAGGTTTGGCCTTTATTTTCTCCTGATTGTCTCTGCTCAGTCCTCTTTTATTATATGTACATGCATGTTTTGCATGGCTTTGGCCGTTCTCTGTAGACCCCGCCTACTCGCGCCACGATTGGTCGAGTTTGAAAAGCGCCCGCACGCTATTGGTCAAACTAGCTTTCAGTCAGTAACTTCAGCGATGATGAAAACAGTAGGTAAACAAAGACAAAACCAGCACTTTTATGCAACTGAGAAATCCTGGCTGGACCAAAACATAGATGGATAAACGAGATTGAATAGCTGAACAACTGTAGCCTGCCTGTTTTTGTTCAAGTATTTCACGAGGAGCTTCTTTCCTCTGAACTCATGAGACTGATGCAGTTATGAAGAGTTTGCTGCCATCTTATGGAGCTCAAAGATTAAACGCTTATTCATATTTTCTGTTCATAAATAATTCAGGAATAATTCAGCAGAATGTAGGAACGGCTACAAATGAAAAAACAAGAACACTTAAAAAATAAATAAATAAAAATAAGGGGGGCTATTTTTTGTTTCCCCCATAATTACCCCTAGTAAAAAAAATATTTAAAATACATTTATTTCACACTAAGTATAGTTAAAAATCTATTAAAGCAGCACTATGTCTAGTATGGAGGACGAAACCTGCAAAAACAATAAATAAATAAATACACAAATAAATAAACGTATTCTTGTTTAAATACATAAATAATACAATAAATGCGGAACTACATTCAGAAATAAATGAGTGATCAAAGGAAAATAGTTAGGATGAGTTTAGCATTTCCTTAAAGGGGTCCTATTATGCTCTTTTACAAAGTCTTGATGTTGTTTTGGGGGTGTACTAGAACATGCTCTCATGCTCGGAGGTTCGAAAAAACGCATTATTTTCCACATAATTTACATTATTACAACACCTGTCTCCCCAGGCTGGCACAAACGGCTCGATTAGTTCCGGCTTTGATGAAGCTCCGCCTTCCGAAACACAAAATGTGTTGTGATTGGTTAGCTGTTCCGGTGCGTTGTGATTGGCGAAAAGTTGTGATTGGCGAACGGCTTAGACAGTGTTTCAGTACTGCCACGCCCCTTGCTCCGTCTTTCAACAAAAGCTTTTGGCGAATCCGGCACTTCTCACACGTGTTGTGGAAGCTGTCCTCAGTAAAATGCGCAGCACACAATAGCAAATTGGGGTTATAATGCTCAGGAACAGAGTTAAAACGTAAATTGCAACCACTGTTTCCTGACATCATCCGCTTTCGGAAGCCCAAACAAACACGTTTGGACACGGAGGTGAAAAAACAACGTTTCAGGCGGTCGCGCACCGGAAGAGAAGCGTCGCGTCGCACCACGTCTTTAAAATTAAAATACATTATTTTCTATGAGTGTAGCACACCGGCGGCGCCCAGCTTCGTCGTGTTATATTTGTAAGAATTGTTTTAGACCAGTGGTTCTCAATCCCAGTCCTCGCGTACCCCCGCTCTGCATGTTTTGCACGTCTCTCTTTGTTAACACACCTGATTCAGATCACCTCATTAGAAGTGAGCTCCGTGCATGAACTGTGTTCTAATTGACATGCTCCCTACACAGTGTCCATTGCTCCCTACTCCCTGAGCAGCGTCTTCACACACAAACGAAACTTACTAGAGAAGCGTGACGTGGGACATAATATACCTCTGTAAATAAATACAATTTGAATTCACGTCTCGCACACTTAAATGCCCTTTGTATGGAACATATACGCTCCCTTCAAACTGGACTCATGGAGGAATATCCGGTAATGTCCACTTCGCAGGGCACTTACAGTCAAATATAACAAACAATAAGGACTGGAAATGAGAACCGCTGTTCTAGACATGCTAAAAATGTGAGGCTACAGCACAGGAGCTCTTCTTGGTTTTCTCTGATGCACTAACTCTGCAGCAGCACTTCTTCTTCGTCGTCTCGTCTGATGCGCTCACTCAACCAAGCGCTCTAACCACGACCTCGCCCCTCCCCACCATTCACATTTCTGTAGGCGGGAATTATTTGTAATGATATTCTAATGAGCCGCTTTGTGACATCACAAAGCCCGGAAACCAAGCGCTGTAGTCCAAACGAGCCGTTTGCTGTAGTTCTTGAAAAGGGATTTTTTAAAAGCTAAATCTCTCCCTTTGGAGTGGACTTTGAGATTTGTAACTTTCTAGATCTTTTTTATGCCCAAACATACACACTACACACTGACTACAATTAAAAAAGTGAAAAAGCATAATAGGACCCCTTTAAACATTTTCCATTTGCCCACCAATTTATTTTATTTATTTGCCTACTTTAATCACATATTTAATTATTCCTATATGTATTTAAACAAGAATTTGTGTATCTATACACATTAATTTTTTTATTTGTGTATTTATTTATTTATTGTTTTTGCAGGTTTCGTCCTCCATACTCTAGCGGTTAATAAACAGAGCTGCACACATCCCGCGGAGGAACATTCTAACCGGATCTACTTCTCTAAGTGTATGTCTCTGGCGCTTCACGCAGGTGTGTGTTCCTCCGCAGCGGTGACCAGCCTGCAATAGTCCGAATATAAGCACTTATTATAAGTGTACCGGAGTGATTCGGAATAAGACAAACACGCGGTTTGGAAGATGCATTCATGGTCTACTCGCTCATTATATACATTTTGCACATTGTGAACACAGAAAAATTACATAGTGCTGCTTTAACATTTAATGACAGATGCAAATTACAATTAAACTTTATTTGGCGCATGCACATTTCTCAATATTAAGTCTAAAATGTGTTTTAAAGTCACTTTTGATGAGAATTGTGTGATCTTTGAATAATATCGGTCTTTAGAGGCGAAATAATTAAAGTTTAACTGAACTATACTTGCAATAGTTCCTCTTTAGTACAATCAAATATACTACTAAGCATATCTTTAATTGTACTTCCACGCAATTAAAGCGCATTAAGCACATAAATATGAAAATGTATTTGTAGCACTTAGCATTTAAAAATACACTGAAGTATATTTATTAAAGAAGATTGTGACGCGTCACTGTTGAGCCCCGGAAGCTCGTGCGCACCGGAAGTGAGGTTTCTCCGCGATCGTCGTGTTGTTGTTAGTAGCTTTTCTGTTTTAACATTTTCATTCATTAGCATTACTTCGTTGAAGATTTGAAATAGTTTCTCCGAATGCAACAGTGCATTTATACCCACGGCGGGTAATCACAGAGAGAGACGAACAGAGTAATATTGTAGAATTGTGATTAATGATCGTCGGAATGAGTTTAGCGAGCAGCAGAGAGCAGCGCAGCAGCGCCGGAAGCCGCATGTCCAAACTACTGGACGCCGAAGAAGAAGACGAGTTCTACAAGACCACTTATGGAGGATTCAACGACGTCAGTGTTAATATAGATGGATATATTAGTTTATATGCATATTTAAAATATATACATGTTTATTTTAATATGTGTATACTCGTATATAATTAATATTTATTGATAAATGTTTAATCAAATATTGAATATCATACATACATTTTATATATGAAGTGTTTGTAATTATTTATGTGTAGTGTTTATGTAATTCAGTCGATATACACATCTATACTTGACCCTCTAAAATTAGCACTCTCTGTTATTATTTCTATTCTGTCTAAGGTTGAGGCAAAAGTCAAATATAATTGTTCCTGTTTGGTTCTGTGACTTGAACATGTTTGACCACCTCTGGTGTATATATATTCATACACACACATGATATATATATATAATGTAGTCAACATAAAAACTCAATAACATTGCATTCTTTCTGTGTGTGTGTGTGTGTGTGTGTGTGTGCTGAGCAGGAGTCGGGTGATGACGAGTACAGAGGAGATCACTCAGACACTGAAGACGTGAAGACGAGTGATTTTGACATCGATGAAGGAGACGAACCCGACAGCGATCAGGAGGATGACGCTCCGCGCAGAAAGAGCCGCGTCGTCACTAAAGCATACAAGGTCAGACATCACTCACTCTCTCACACACACACACACACACACACTCTCTCTCTCACACACACACACACACACACACACACGACATTTTTAGCCCATTATTTAATGTCATGAGACAAAGGTTATTATCAGGACAAACTCTTAAGGACTTGTTTTATTAGATGGACCCAGAAAAACTTTTACAATTTCTTTCAAATGTAAATTTAAAGAATCTTTCATAGAATTTAATGTACTAAAGTTTGTTATATAATTGCTTTATTTAATTTTTGTATTTTGTATTGTGTACTACTGTATTTTTTTCCTAATGTATAATCTTTTTTGCCATGAAATATCATGTGAAGCTGATATGGCAATAAACTAAAATCAAGCCAAAAAAGTAAAATCATGATTTTTATAGTTAACTTAAACTAAATAAAAAAACTGCTTAATTTTATTTACTCAAACTGAGCAAAAATATGGATTTGCTTCAGATGCTGATATTTCTATGATGAGATTCTGATGCTTGTGATGTAAATTAATGAGATGTTTCTAACAGTAGAGCAGATACTGACATAAAATGATCTAAATATCAGCGGTCGCTCTATATCTGCAGTAACATGTCTCAGTGAGATGAGAGTGAAATGCTCCAAACATATAATGCAGTGATTGAGAGCTGCAGAAATAAAGGCTCCTCGGAAGATGTGAGATATTCTGGAGGCTTGTGAAGATCATTCCTCCGCTGAGGAACAGTGAAAGTAAAGCTTCTGGAAACAAACGCTCCTCAAAAGATCCTGAGGATCAGATTTGAGACTCTAAAACATGATTGATGGAGAATCAAGTAAAGCTGAGCTGCTTCAGT